TGAAGAACTCAAAGTTCCAGAACAAAATGTAAATCGATGTTACGTGATGATGTTATGTGTTGGATTACTCAAAGATATAACTACGCTGATGTTGCGTGATGATGTTTGGTCAAAGTTGTAAACATGTTTGTTTTCTTGGAAAACGAAAACGACACTTTGGGACGGAGGAAGCACGATGCAAAAGCACCCCGCTGTTAAATGTTTATGACCGAGAAAGAGAAGAATTTTTTTCCTTACTTCTACTAGTTCAAACATCAAAGATGGTATAATTTTTTCGATCAAGAGAGAACTTCGCCCCTTCCGAAAATCCAACTACTGTACATTCATGAGGTACAATTTGAATGCTTTTGCGATTTGAACACACAAAGTCCTGTTTGAGCTTACTCAAAACTACTTTTCAGTCATGAAGTAATATTTTTCTCTCATAATATTTCAGTCTAAGCCGAGTTTTAGCATCAGCCAGCAGCTACAAAACTGCACGCTTGCGACTTGGGAGTGAGAAAACGCACTCAGTACAGGACGAAATGAAATGGATGGAATGCAGAGCAGTAGTCGGTGGGAAGTGGAGAGCGGGTGGGGCTACGTGCCGAAAATGACTCGCGAACGTACAGGGTGTACCAGTGCGTACCGACAAGCCAATGAATGAGACGAAAGTAAAGAATGAATCCAGCGCAGGGCGTGCAGCATCCCATCTCATCTTATTCTTATCCCACAAGCGTGATTAATTTTGCCATCAACGTCGCAGCACAGTACAACTCCTAGTAATTAATTAATGAAAACTCTCCCAGCCCCTCTCGGTCCGTGAAAACACGAGACGTCTTCGTCTCAGGTCGTCGATCTCAAGGTCCTCGGAGAACCAACGACAGTTGTAGGCCCACTTGGCTCTGTGGCTCCATAACCATAAGTATGTAGTAATAATAATAAAAAAAATTATATATTTTTTTAAATGATGTATAAACTGATGGAATTAGGTCGTGTTTATCCAAAATTTTAAAAGGTGGATTTCAAAAGCTACAATAAGTGATTGTTTGGATCCCAGTTTGTTAGAGTATCTCCAAGAGTTTGTCAAATTTTACTTAGCAAATCATGTGATTTGCCAACTTCCAAAATTATATGCCAAGTAAAAAAACAGTCCATCTCTAAGAGTTTGGTATTTTTGACTTGGTAAAATAAAAAAACCCGTTAACAAAACGAAGAGGCCCGCTAAACGAACGAGCCCCGCTAAGCGAACGAAGAGCCCCGCTAAGAAACGAAGAGCCCCGGATGCCAAGCCGTATACGCGTGCGCGGAGGGAAGATTTGCCAATTTGCTATTGATGTCAAGTTGTTTTGTCAAACTGTTGGAGGCTATTTTTTCTTGTTTTGTCAAAATTATATGGAAGACAGTTAAGATAGCAACAAGGGAGGGAAACGGGACAACGCGGCCATATTTAAAATCCACCGTGATGACGGTGGCAGATAGGGGTAATATTAACGAAACAGCAAGGGCATTTTTATCTTTTCTGCACCTACAAGCTGCTAAAAGGTGGAGTCTCTCGACTTGTGGGATTACGGAAGTTGAGGTGACTGGACTGTAAAAGCTACGTAAAAAGCATAAGCGTTTGGATCCTTGTAGTATTTGAGGTCGGGATTGCGAAAGTTGAGGTCACGGGATTGTGAAAGCTACGCTAAAAGTAGAAGCGTTTGGATCCTAGGAGTATTTGATGAGATTGGGATTAGAGAAGTTGAGGTGGCTGGATTGGTGAAAGCTACGCTAAAAGCAGAAGCGTTTGGATCCCATGAGTATTTGAGATTACAAAAGCTATATTGGACTTGTTTGATCAGCGCAGCTGCACCAACACAAGAAACAAACTGTGTAGTGCACGTCTTTGTTTGCAGCAGCAGCAAGAAGCTCGAACCCCATTGTGCAGTTTGGTACTTCGTCCCGATTGTAAGTCGTTCTAAATTTTTGGGAGTGTTAAAAAATCATTTTAAGTTTGACTAAGTTTATATAATAAAATAATAATATTTATAATATCAAAGAAATATCATTAGATTCTTCATTAATTATATTTTTATAGTATATCAATCTAATGTTATAAATCTTTATAATTTTATCTATGATTTTAATCAAACTTAAAATATTTTGACTCCTCACCCATTCAGGCTTCTCCATAGGCTGTGCCAAACGCAGCAGGAGGCCACACGTGTGCAAAAGCTGGGGAAACATCTCCGTCTCGGCTGACGACGAGGCAGGCAGAGCTTCTAGAGGCCTCACCTCACCCAGTTGGGCGTCTCCCCGCCTCGACCCCGGGGCCACGCGGTCAGTGACCGACGGTCCACGCAAACGCTTATGCTAACTGCTAATTAATCCAGGCGGAACTCGGAACCCGTCCGTGCGCCCGGTTCCGTGGACCTGCCTGGGCTCCGGTTCCACTGACCTCGCGGCCCCACAAGGCGGTGCATGCAGAGGGGCAGGAGCTCGTGGGATCGGAGGCCGTCGGTTTCCGGGAAAGGGAGGGGGCCACGACCCACGAGAAAGCCAAGGCACAAGGGGGATGAGAGGTGGGGCCCGCGTCACGGGTCTCTCTGAGTCGAGTCGAGTGGAATCGAATCGGGCGGGTCGGGTGGCTCACCCATCCATCCGCCCGCACCCAACGCCAGGTCGCCAGCCAACCGGATCTCCTGTGGCGCACACGGGCGCGGCCGCCTGCATTCACGATTCACCTCCTCGCCTAGGAAGGAGAACCCGTACTTGTACGGGTCAATTTTAGGTATGATCAGTTCCGTGGAGCGTCAGGTCAGGTCTTCTTCACCTCATCAGCTAGCTGATCTGGGCCTTGTTTAGATGCACACCAAATTCCAAGTTTTTTCACTCTCTCTCCATCACATCAATTTTTAACCGCTTGCATGGAGTATTAAATGTAGGTAAAAAAATAACTAATTACACAGTTTAGTTGGAAATCACGAGATGAATCTTTTGAGCCTAGTTGGTCTACGATTGGACAATATTTACCAAATAAGACAAAAGTGGTACTATTCATCGAGTTGCAAAAATTTGCAAAGAGAACAAGGCCCTGGTTCTCTAGAAGGTTCGGCGTCAGGGATATCCCAGGGGCAGTGCCGTGTGTTCCCATCTTTGTTTTTCATTTATTGCGCCCACAACCTGTCATTAGCTTCCACCATCACAACCCGTGGGACTTGCATTAAACTTGAGTCGAGAGCTTCCGCTTTTCCAGTAGTAGTACCTGTGGGAATAAGCTTCGTTGTTTATATTTGCGTTGAAATCCGATCACACTTTTCCAGATTTATTTTAGAATTTAACACAATGGTAGACAACGTGACATGTCCATCAACAACGAGGTGTTTGGGATGAGTTCATCAGCCTCGAAATCTTTTGCTCAGTCCATTTTTAGAGGTGCTCATGGCTGTATTTTTGTGTGTTGTGTTCATAGGGTGAGTGTGTATGTACGTGTTTCTAAAAAATGATTAAAATCACTTATGTATAAGTGTACTGTATTTTTTAAGATCATATACTTTATGGTAAATGCTTCCTCCATCCTAGAAGATGCCATTCTAAAATAGTTATCGGTCAAATTATCTCAAATTTGTACCAAAATATATTAATGTTATCATACTAAAAAAAGTATTATTTTTATGGAATCTATACTTTCACAATATATCTATTTGTAATCTTAAATGTTATTTTTTTGGAAAATGCTTAATTAAGCCTACGCATGCTTTAGCGCCAAGCGCCAAGACGCCTTCCACCTCCTCGCGACTCACCTTGCCTGTGCCACACTCAAAGCCGCCCCGCCACGCCTCTCTCTCTCTCTCTCTCTCTCTCTCACCGTCGATAGCGACCAGAGACTACGACCGACGAGCTCCTCCCGGTGGCATCCTACCAGCGCCCGTGGCAGCCATGGCGGATCCGCGCCAGGTTGGGCTCCTCCTCCTCCTCTTGGATCTCCGAGGTAGGGTTCCGGTGAGCTCTACCTATCATCTATTCCAACTCCAACGGGCTATATAATGGCCGACCGTGGGGAGGTAGGTAGGCCAGACAGTGGGGATGGTCGACGGGCGGTTTAGAGGAGGCTCGGCAACAGTGGTGCCCGGCCGGATCGAGGCGAGGAGCTTGACCATGGTGGCGGGTGGCGGGGGGAGGAGGGCAAGCTAGGGTTTCACCCGAGTTTCTAGTGAAACCCTACCTCATCGCTCCAAGGGCGGTGGTGGCGCGTGGGCGCCGAGTCGTGGAAGAAGTTCTGTTGTATTTTTTCATTCAAAAACTGTTGTGTAGAGATGTGTGCGTGGAAGCTCCAAATCCTGCGCGCGCAGGCTGTAGTAAAGTTCTTTTTTTATAAACACGACTAAAATAAAGTTAACTCTAACTAAATTTAGGACTGCAACCTTCCGGTACAAATAAAAAGGTCTATGGCTATCTGAGAAGATCCAATTTCAAAATCTTCAAACCATCCACCACCAAAAACCAAACGAAGACAAGCTAATGAAAACAACCACAGAGATCAATCAGAAAAAAGTTCAAAAAGGCATAAATAGTCCACACTAACACAACCAAAAAACCAAATTAACGGCTTTAATAAACCTATCCACGAGTCCTTTATACCCGCTAATAACCTAGTCACTCCTGACTAATCTCACTCTCTCTCTCCCTCAAAGTCTCCAACCGCCGCTGCTCTCTCTCCTCTCCTCGAGACTACTACACAGAAGCTAGAGCTAGCTCTCGTTTCTCCTCTTCGGCTGGATTCGCATTCCATTTCACCTCGCTGCGGTTTACCTCTCCCTTTCTCTCACCTTCCTCGCCCACCTCCATCGCCTCCTCCTTAAGCAACGACGCGGCGAGCGACCCGCGACCCTAACCCTAGGGAGAGAGAGCCACCACCAGCAGCTGGGCCGACCGCACGCACGCGCACCCACCCACTCAGCGGCGGCAATGGCGGGGCGCTCCCTCACCCCTCGCTCGTCGGCGGCGGCCGGCCGGGATGCGTGAGATCGCGGCGCCGGATGGGGAAGGACGCCGGCGAGGCGCAGCAGCAGCAGCAGCCGCCGGACGGGGCGGGCGGCGGCGCAGGCGGAGGCGCAGGAGGAAGCAGGGGCGGTAGAGCCCGCCGCTTCTGCTGCTGCGGAGGCGGAGGAGGCGGCGGGGCGGCGAGGGTGGTTCGGCTGCAATGCGTGGCGGCGCTCGTGCTCGGTGTGGCCGTGCTGCTGTCGGCGCTCTTCTGGCTCCCGCCCTTCGCGGGGCGGGGCGGCGGCAAGGAGGGCCCGGATCCGGGCGACGAGTTCGGAGGTGAGCGCTCCACCCACCGCATTGCGAGATCTCGGTTCCGTTCGGCCGGTCGCCGAGTGGCGGTTCTATGCTCGATCTGCGTTTGCTTTGCGCTGGGAGTTCGTTTGTGGATGCTCGGCTTTGGATCTGGATGCGCGCGGTGAATAGTTGCGGTTTCGGGCTGGAAATTTGAATTGCCTTTGACTGCGAGGAGCCTTGCGGAGACGTTGCGTGTTCGGGCGGCAAGCTGGATCTTCCAGTAGAGCTCTCTGTTCTCAGTTGGTGTGTACGGCCTGCAAATTTAGTCGCGTATGGTTCGTTTCTGCTGGATGGTGATGCTTGAGTTTGATCTGTGCTGCTTAGGCTGTTGGACAAGTGTCGGTGCTCCTTTTTTCTGGGGGGCGAAATTCCGTTTTGGGGAAATATTCAGCCAAAATGAGTGAGTCGTTATGCGAATGGGTGAAAAAAATTCAGAAACAACTCCAAGGAAGGGCCCTGCTTTGGCATGTGTTGGTGCTATTTTTGTAAACATAGTAGGTTTATACAGGCAACAAGCTTTCTGCTAAAATGGGGCTACTATTCTGCCCTGGTCACAGTATTAGGTAATGGCTAGGGACTATAGGGTGCGGTGAGTACCTATTTTGTGTTGTTTGCTGATTTATGTAGCATATTAGATTCCTTGTTTCGTTAAATTTGATGATGCCAGGGATATTGATTCTGCGTGCCTTACTAGATTTAGTGTGGTCACCTAGCATTGTGTTATGCTGCTATTGACTTATTGTGGATGAGTTTGCATTAGTCTGTCGGATTGTACATTGGTTTTTTCTATTCATCTTATTTGCTGTGGGATGGACTTGCCATACCTTGTTTATTCCCGATAGATCAGTAGACAGAAATTTGACCTATGGTCCATTCCTAAACCATATATGAAATATAATCTTGCACTGGGCTCATAGCAACAAACACTCCATTATAGCATATCTTTACTAATGAACCGATATTTTGCAGCTGCTATAGTGGCAAGCTTTAGGCTACACAAGACAGTTCCTGAGCTGAGTGGAAATAAATCCCAGCTCGAATTGGATATATATGAGGAAGTTGGCATTCCTAATTCCACGGTAGGCCCTCCAGTTCCCTTGATCTTACACATGGCTTGATATTTGCATCCAGTTGCCCTAAACTGATCTCGAACTTCTATACAGGTGGTTGTGAATACGCTACATCCATTAGATGGATCAAACTGGACAAACATCATCTTCAACATTGTCCCTTTCCCAGAGAACGTGACTGTATCATCAACATGGTTGAGCATTCTTAGATCAAAGTTCATGTCCTTGGTTGTACGGCAGTCAACAATCCACTTGACTGAGCCCCTATTCGGGAATTCATCATCCTTTGAAGTAATTAAATTCCCAGGAGGAATAACAATCATCCCTCCACAAACTGCTTTTCTTCTTCAGAAGCCCCATGCGACTTTTAATTTTACTCTGAACTATCCGATCTACAAATTACAAGACAGAACTAACGAGTTGAAGGATCAAATGAAGGCAGGACTACTACTCAATCCATACGAGGTTAGTTGTACCTTCAAGCGTTTTTTTGTGTTTGTCTGCATTGTGTGTTCAATTTGATAGAATCAAAAGATGAAGCATATGTACATGTGAGATTTGTTCATTTGATTCTTCTAACCTTCATTATGCCAAAAGCTCAGGCATTTGGTGATTATGGCACTCCAAAAGTCTATGCATATTTATGCAAAATTTGCATACAAGTGATGCATATAATCTTGTAGATGTATTGCAATCTCTGATGAAAGTTTCTGTCGTTTACTTATTCATTTGCTGGCCACGTGTTCAAATAATCCTGTGAATATGGAACCCATGTACTGTAGGCATATGACACCAGTTCACATACTATCACACATATAGCTACATCTAGGGTTGCCCTTAGTATTTTTTTAAGCTTTGACAAGCAATATGCCAATATCTATAAAAACATATCGTCTTAAATGAGAAGTGTTAAACACTATAACTTTTTTTCCATCATAAATATAGTAATGTCAAAATTTTGCTGTCAATCTATATAGTCAAAGTTAAAAAAAGTTTCACTGAGGACAAACCTAGATGGAGTTATATTTGTGATCGCAAGAAGTAAAAAAGAACGAAGCACAAATAGTTGTTTGTACCTTCTTTTTTTTTTTTTTTGTGTGGTGCTTTGGACTTGTCGTTCTATTCTAAGCCAAAAGAAAAATTGAGAAGGAGGAATCGCCTAGTAGTAGTATATTCTCTTTCCTTTTCCTGTCAATTGAGTTTCAAATATTTTGCATTGCAGAATCTGTATATCAAATTGACAAATTTGCAAGGTTCAACGATTCTCCTCCAACAATTGTTGAGACCTCCATTGTCCTCGAAGTTGGAAATCACCAGCCATCTGTACCAAGGATGAAGCAGTTGGCACGGACAATTACCAATTCATCTTCATCCTCGGGAAACCTGGGTCTGAATCATACAGTATTTGGAAGGGTAAAACAGATTAGCCTTTCATCCTATCTTAGGCATTCCTTACATAGTGGAGGAGGTTCTGATGCACCGAGTCCTGCACCCATGCATCATCATGGTCATCACGGCCATCATCACCATCACCACAGTCATGACGACAACAGGCAACCAGCTTCTGCTCCCGCTCCAATACATTTTCCTGTGCCGCAACCCAGATATAGTGCTCCACCTCCATCTGGATGTCCATACAGCAAAAACAAGCCAAAGAAAAGGGGGCCTGTTACACCAGCTGCTGAGCCTGCAGCTAATGATCACCGATCTCCTTCCATTGCTTTACCGCCACATCCATCGTCACCTTCGCCTGCTAGTCCTCGACATGGTCCCAGTATGCAGGGTGGATCTCCTGTTCCTCCCCCTCCTGCTCTACCAGAGCCACCTTTGCCCACCGTTTCGTTTGCTCATCCACATCCTCCAAGTGAACGTGGAACAGTGGCAAGTCCTGCTCCAAGTGAAGAGGCAACACGAGCAGATCCTGCTGGGATGTCACAAGTGGCACCTGCACCTCATTCATGTGAGTTCCTTTTCCATTTATGCTTTTGCAACTGTTGTAGATTGTTATCTGAAAAGGCACTTAGTTTATCTGCTCTAGAGTAGAGTACGCACATAGGAAGTAAAACATTGTGCAAAGATTAAGAAGTCTAACGTTATATACTCACACGAGGGTTTGAACAGTTCATTCAAGTATTTGTCCCACTTAATCACAATCTGTGCTTGTAAGGATAAGGCGATATATTCCCTTCACTTAATCCCACACCTGATCTTATTGCCTAGTGGCATAATTAGTTGAGGTTAAATTGGCAAGTTCTTCTATTTCCCTGTTAATACTGTTTACATCAACTGTTACATAATAATTGTTAGGAAGAGGAAGTTTAGTTTTTCCATGATGGCATATGGTAATACCAAGGGAATCCGAGTTGTACTTTTGTTTTCGGAAACTGGCATAGGGTGATAGTTATGGTTAGTTCAACTACTGGAGAATAATGAAGTGCTCCATTTATTTTCCAACAACGATAGGTAGGAAATCATATCGCTGACAAGCTAACAGTAAGACGCCATGGTGTTGACATATAGTACAATAATACAGTGAGCCCATCAGGCCATGAAGGGCACTCGTTACCATGTTCACCTCATTGATACCAAAGTAGCCTCTTCGCTGACTACATGATGTTTGTGGTATTGCAGCTTATGCCACCAGGATGCAGGGCGATGTTCCCTGCAGCTGGGTCCTTTTTGTCCTCGCTTTATGCACCCTAACGAGCCTGCTACGATGAAGGAGGTACGTGGCCGGCCAACCAGATGTATATCAGCAACCGCCGCGGCCACCGCCTTACGTGGTCAGAAGAGAAGAGGACGCACGGGGCTCCACCGGCGGCATATCTGGTTCTGGCCTGGCCAGGCGGCCATCAGCTCCCGGGGGTGGGTGGGCAAAAGAGGCCCTTCTCCCCTCGGCGGGCTGTCACACTCTCTCGTTGCTAGTTTTCAGTTGTCACTGCATGTAAATATGGGGGGATGGGATGGGTATAAGGCAAGGCAAACCGCAGGACGGGCGGCCGTGCGTCGTGGTCAAAGCCACATGGGGTGGCAGGCCCTTGTGTAGCGCGCGCCTCTGCCCGCCCTGGGTCTGCCGCCGTGTGTGTAGTGTACTCCTGCTGCTGATGCTGAAGCTGAACACGGCAGAAGCGGGCTCGTCAAGTGTAAAGACCTGCAGTTTCGTGGAGGTTCGTTTCGCATCCATCCACGCTCAGTTTTGCTGTGCTATCCTATCTTAACCTGCAGTGTTTCATGGTGCTCTGATCAGACTGTGCTTAATGCCGTAGAATGAAATCGTCGAGCTCTGTGATCAGTGGTCACGGCTCCTTCCGTTCCATGCATGCATGCTAGTAGTAGAGAAGCTGCTGCAGGAATACATTGTAGCTTATAAGCTGCTTGTATGGTCAAAGTAAGCTGAAACAAACAGGCAAACAATATATTACTCCATCCCAAATTGTAAGACGTTTGACTTTTTTTTGCTCCAAGTTTGACCACTCGTCTTATTCAAAAAATTTGTGTAAATATAGTCAAATTTAAGTCATTCTTAAAGAATTTTTATTAATAAACCAACCCACGACGAAAGAAGTGATATTTTACACAAATTTTTAAATAAGACGAGTGGTCAAACTTGGTGTCAAAAAAGTCAAACGTCTTACAATTTGTGATAGATTGGGTACTTTTTTTCCAGTTTTTTTTCTATGATCTTATTTTGACCGTGCTTTTTCTTCATTTGTGCACCCTTGTTTTGACTGGTCAAAGTAAGTTGCTTGTATGGTTCTATGAGAAAGTAGTAACGATTAAGATTGTTAAAATCGTGATTCTGAGTCGAAGCGGAACTAACAATTATAAGATCATAGAGTTGTAGGGTCATAACTGCTAAAATCATAAAATTGTAAATTCAGAGTCTTAACAATCCGTAAGTTCTATTTAATAGAATCGTAGAATCAACTTAGGTTAAGACATAACATCGGCTTACCTTAAAAGCCAGCTTATTTGGCTTCTTTTTTTTAGCTGAAACAATATTTTTCTCTCACAACATTTCAGCTTTGACTTGTTTTTTCAGCCAATTTTAGCCAAGCGAACGGGGCTAAGATGATAAAGTTGTAATGTCAACTAAGATCGTTGAGTCGTACAATCAAGCAATAGAAGTATAAAAAATAGAACTGAGATGTTATCAATAAATGGCTAAAAATTGGGCTAAAATCTTTTACTCCTATAGAGGTCATAAACTGGGCTAAACCCTATCGGGGTAGGTGATACCTCTCGCCGCCTGCATGTATGGTTGTGTATGGATAATTAAATGAGGACAAATCAGTTATGATAGATTAGAGGACTAAAATTTAGCCCATGAATCAAACAACCCAGCAGGACTAAAGTTTAGGGACTAAATTTTAGAGGCTAAACTTTAGTCCTTAGACTAGTGATCCAAACAACACCTGGCTACATTACCAAACCAACAGTGCAGCGCGGGCGTGGCAGCTATAACTGGCCCCGTTACGACGATACTCGCTACAGGACAGTAGGACACACAGGAGTGTCTGGTTCTGATAGGGCGCGTTCGCTGGTCTAGTAAAACCAGATCAGCCAGCTGATAATTCTCAGCGAACACTGTTCATCCATCAGCCGCTTCAACCAGTTCGTTGCCTGCTGAAAATGACCGTCACGCCCTCACTACCCGGACGCGTCAAGCCTAGCCCAGCCCATTCTGACGTTTGCCTGTGCCTGAGCATCGACTACCGGCTGTGTTTAGTTGCCAAAAAGTGACGCAGTAGTCATTACATTGAATCTTATGATACATGCATGAAACATTAAATGTAGATAAAAAAAAATTACACAGTTTGATTGGAAATCGCGAGACGAACATTTTGAGTCTAATTAATCTATGATTGAACATTAATTATCAAATAAAAACGAAAATGCTACCATAAACAAATTGCCAAATTTCACGAACTAATCACAGGCCGAGCACCTTTGCTCCGGCATGTAATGGCGGAGGACACACCGGAAACTGGATCGGAGACCCCACCGTCCCCACGCACCTGCCCGCCGTCGGCCAGCGAGCTACATTAACGCCTCCTTAAAAATTGCCGTCGCTCTCTCGTGCTGCCATCCATGTCCATCTCCATCGTACTACAGTGAAGCATCCAGCTACACCCACCTCGCACGGACGGGACGGGACGGGACGGCGCACTCCGAGCTCCATCCAATCCAACCACGCATCCATCGCACCCGGTCCATGCCCGCGTCGTCGTCCATTCTATTCCACTCCAAGTACAAAAACGCCGCCTCCTTCCCTCCCTCCCTCCATCCCTCACGGCTAGCTCGCTCCTGCGCCAGCAGCGCAGGCCCAGCATGCCGGCCGGCGGCTCGTCGTACCTGGCGACCATGGGCCGCCGGAGCTTCTCCTACCACAGGCTCAAGAAGCTCCCCGCCGCCGCTCCCTCCTCCTCATCCTCCCGCCACGACGGCCCCTACCACCGGACTCGAGCTAGGGAGACCCGCCGTGCGCCGCAGGCCTCCGCCGCCGCCATCGAGGAGTCGTACCGGTCCTACTACCGCGCGCTGGTGGCGAGGGGGACGCGGCAGCGGCGGAGGCAGCAGCCGTGGCGAGGCGGCGGCAGGCCGCGGCGCCGCCTGAGGGCCTGGGGTGCCCTGGCGCGCGCGCTGCGGCGGAGGGCGGCGGCCGCCGGGGCCCGGGTGCGCGCGTCCGTCGCCAGGGTGGCGCGCCGGCTCAGGGACGGCCGGCCCTACGTCGGGGACCTCTTCGCCGGGAACTACATGTTCCTGCAGGTGTCGCCCACGATGGCCGGGGGCGGGGCCGACGGCAGGGCGCGCGGCGCCGTGGTGCCCTTCGCGGAGTACTACTACGGCTGTAAGGCCAGGGCCAGGGCGGGCGCCGGCGGCGTGCAGCTGCACCCTGCAGCCGCTGCTGGGGTGCTCTACAAGGTGTAGCGTGTCACTGCAACTCCGCTGTTCGGCGCTTCGTTTGCATGCGTGATGTCAAAACATGTGTTGTGCATTCGAGTCACCTATGGATGACTTGGTCACTGGCCTGTGCCTCGTTCACTTTGCAAATTTTTTTTTAACCTGATGAATACTACCACTTTCGTCTTATTTGGTAAATATTATTCAATCATGGATCAACTAGGCTCAAAAGATTCATCTCGTGATTTCCAACTAAACTGTGTAATTAGTTATTTTTTTACCTATATTTAATACTCCATGCAAGCGGCTAAAAATTGATGTGATGGAGAGAGAGTGAAAAAACTTGGAATTTGGATGGCATCTAAACAAGGCCATGGTGGTTTAGCGCGTGTTTAGTTGCTACCCTAAGATAAAAAAAAGTGCTATAGTATCTATCCCATCGAATCTTGTGATACGTGCATGGAACATTAAATATAGATGAAAAAAAACTAATTACACAGTTTAGTTGGAAATTACGAGACGAACATTTTGAGCCTAATTAATCCATGATTGAACACTATTTGTCAAATAAAAACGAACGTGCTACAGTAGTCCCAAATTTTCAAATTCAGGGAACTAAACACGCTGTTAGTGTTGAAATATGGGGTAAATAAATGTTGTTGCTCAGTTTGGATTGGATTTTTTTTTTCTTTTTGTTTTCGCCAGTGCTTGTTGAAGGCTCCGTCGTAGGCCCAAGTGGCCATTATATATACCAGAATTGCAATGCAATGCCATAATTGTGCCCTTGTTTAGTTCCTCAAAACTCCTGAAAAGTGCATTATACAAAAAGAAGATTTTTTGTTACATCAAATTTACGGTACATGCATGAAGTACTAAATGTAGATGAAATAAAAAACTAATTACACAGTTTGCTTTAACTTTGCGAGACGAATTTTTTAAGCCTAATTAGTCAATGTTTAGACAATAATTCACAAATACAAACGAAATACTACAGTAAAGAATCTTCGCAAACTTTGTCAACTAAACACCGCCTGTACGATGAAATGGAACTCTGTGTGTGTGTGGACGGGTGCAGATAGAGATAGCCATTGTCTGACTGCTCAGTTTAACTGACAGATAGCCAACTGATGGATGGTACCGGTACACACGTGTGTGACTCGCATACTAGTAGGAATAGGATAAGGCCAAATCAGCGAATTTGGCGCTACGGAAAGAGCTTCGTAGGCAAGGAGGGGAGGTGGCGTGTTTCGGTGACGGGCGACGGCATTCGTTCCACTCGCGCCCAAGAGTTCAGCAACCGCGTCTCCCTTCGCCGAGATGCCGTGCCAGTGGCACCCTAGCCTAGCGGCCTCAGAGTCAGATGCATCTCGGAATCGAACACCTGGGATGGGAGGGATGCCTGACGCAGGCAAGGTGTCTTGCGCCGGCGTCGCTCCAGACGTCCGAATCCGATTTCGGACGCGGTCAGTGTCGCGGGTCGGTGTCTGAGTCTGACGGACGGGTAGCTAGCGGGCGGATGCCTTGATTGCAAGACAACGATACTCATCGGCTTCCCAACAACTCATGTTCATCCATCCAGCGATACTCCCCGCTGCGGTTGGCGACCTGGCAGGGCACGCACCCGGCTGCAGGCTGCCACCAAAAAGCTACTCATAGATAGATAGATCTGGTGTCTTCGTCCCAAGGCCCCAGCTACCGGATCCACTGGCGCCCACGGGCGGGCCATGGCACAGCCATTCCGAGTTGTTCCTGTCCTGATGCGCCACCTCCTATCCTAACTGCTTCATTACTCATCTGCACTCCTGTGAGTTGTTAC